TCATTACCTCCGTGTTCAATAACCTGCTGTTGTTCTCCAAGTTCCTATCATGGCTCCATGAGTGGGGAGATGGTGAAAGGAGTAGTGGCCAAGGTGAAGCAGAGGTTCTTTCATTTAACACTTTCCAGGCTACTGTCTTTTTGTGTTGCCTTAGAACCCCATTTATAGCTTTCAGGTAGTTGCTGGAGTCATGATCTCTTAGAATTGTACCTTCTGAGCCGTAGGCTGTAGGATCACTCAGAGTCTCCACTGGATGGGGACAATTAAGGAAGACCTCCAAGGCATTTGAGCAGTACTCATAATGGTTCTTGTCCAAAACATAAAGCGCATTTCCTGGAGGGAGCATAGGGTGTGATGGAGATGACTTCTCATCTGGTTGGAGAATGAATAGCTTGCCCAATGGGGAATATAGAAGCTTCTGCTTCAACACCAAGACAGAAAAAAAAAAAAAAAAAAAAAAAAAAAAAGAATCAGAGAACGAATGAATAAAGTATTTTATAATTTTTTGTAATGATTGTTGTAATAAAGAATCCTCTTACTTGTTATCTCATAAAGAGGTTTTTGAGGTGGTACTTACACTTTTAATTAGACAAGGATGTGTCCGGAATGAGCTCAAACGCTTAAGGAATAGTGAGACATGGTTGGGATATTTGCAGGAAAAGGCTCTAGGGACAATGTCCCTGTGCATCATCACGCAATGAACATGGCTCTCATCCAGGCCCAAGAGTTTCAGTATCTTCTGACCTCCGCAGAACACAAATGGTGAGCCAAAAGTGACTACTGGCCTCATAGCAGAAGGCTTGACAACTCTCCTAGTCAGCAACATTAAGTTAACAAAAAGAGAAAGGCTACCACCAAGGGAATGACCAATGAATTGAAATTTTGCATGATCCCCATGTTTCTTCGCATGGTCCATAATTTCTGGCAAGAATTGTTGATAGATACCCTTTGCAGCTTCATAAATTCCTCTGTGAACCAACACATCCGTATCCTGCAAAAAGAGGGACAACTTCTTAGTGACTACTTGAAATCTCTGTAAAAATTTCACCAGGTTGGAAGTTTCCCTTTCGAATATCTTTGACCTTCCACCTTTGCTCACCTCAAATTTAGTCGGTTCAAAGAAAAGGTTTGCCAGCTAAGACGCCAATGAGTCTGATCCCTACAATTCAATTGAGATATATGTCAGACTGAACGAAAAAATAAGACATACTTTACTTACCATTTCCTCATATCAATGTGTTTCCACATATCAAGGATTTGCCGATAACAAAGGCTACTTTACCTTCAGTAGATCCAGAGACAGAAAAAGGTAAGCTTGAGTAGAATTTTCCTTTCTTTTCCTTTTTCCTATGTTAAACCCTCCTAGTAAATATCAACACAACCTTCTTGGCAAGTGATGGTGAGTGAAAATCAATCGGCAACGCTAACGCTATGTTGAACAGGTGGAACGGGCACTTGCAAATGAATTCAAAGAAGCAGCATACCATGCGTGGCTTGGCTATTTCAATTCCATTAGGAAAGTTGGATGGGATAAGTACAGACTTGTGGAGCTTGCAAATGAATTCAGCAGAAGCATGGGACTGGACAACCCTCCTGCAATTCCAAAGCTTATCCTTAACAAGATGGGACTGAGGACTATCCCTGGTTTGTGTTCCAAATAAGTAGAACTCTCAATTCAAAGTTTCTTTTCCTTCTTTGAAACAAACTTCGTTACATTCACGTTTCATCTTATCTTGTGTTTATATCGTTGGACTGCTTCCTAAAGGACCTTACTTATGCAAAATTAATTACTTGTAAATTGGAAAAAAAAAAAAAAGAGAGTGAAGAGAGAAAGACAGAGAGACATGAATTTGAGTGTTCTCACGAGCACACCATTTTTTCACTTTCCGGTTCAACTTATGAAACAATAGAAGTTGTTATAATGTTTCTAACTTCCCAATTGATACTGGTACACTGGTAACTTTCAACAAAATCAGGTAAAGAGGGCTGCTACTGTACAACTTGCCAACCAAAATGAGTACACTGTGTGAGAGAAAATCTTGACAAATTTTAATATCATGGTAATTTCTAAATCTAAACCACCCCTCCTTCCTAATTTTAGTAAACGTGTTGAACCTAAATTTTGAAACCTAACCACCAAGTGAACCACCACCACCTCTGTATTCTCAACAAATTTAGAACTTTTTGTAATATGGATTTCGGAATTCATAGTGTACATACAAAGCACAACCCAGGACCCATGGGTCACCATCTTCCGAGAAAACCAGCAGTCACTGAATCAAAGAAATGAATTCGTTCTTTTCTTTTGAGATGTGAACAAAACAGTATGCGATGAGAGGTTTTCTCCTTAGACCACTCCCACCATCATTCCCTCGCCGGCTTAAAAAAGCAAGAGGTGGGAAATCCTCGACTTTCAATGATAATTCTTCTGGGCGAATGATCGGACAACAAAATCAAAGTCCCCTGACTGAAGGGGAGCAACAGGAACCATATGAGGACCATAACTCACGAACTGAGAGAAGGGATTCAAGTTGTTGGAAAGAGGTCTACCAGGACCATCCCATGGAAAATGTCCCTGCAAATAGACGGGTGGCACCACAACAGGCGAAGGATAAACCAGTGGTGGAGTATATTGTGAATTTTGGCAAGACTGTCCATGCAGCAGATTTTTCCAATGGCTAGCAAAATCACTGTTA